TGGCTACAAAGCATCAGACATTTGGTACAGTTTGGGTAACAAAGAAGCAAAAAGGATTAAAACCTTGTGTCAAGGAGACTGGTGACAAGGAACAGCAGGAACCAAATCATGAAGCCACATATCTTAAACTGATATGCAGAATTTGAAGTAAAGCATCCTACCACTCTTATGAAAGAGTTAGGAGGATCCAGCAATGAAATTGGGCCCATCAATGCAGGAACTACGTAAGTTGATTCATAGTATCTACAAGGACGCTCTTGGAAGTGTTTTGAAATTAGAATATGTGATTGCATATGAGTGGTAGAGCATTTTTTAATTCAAAAAAGAACAGATTGTGTCTAAGATTTGAACTGAAAATCTTGCTGGGAAGAATTTACTCCCTGTGGTAAACTCTTTAATTCATATCAAGGTTTGTGACCATCAGTGTAGTGGTAGGACCTGTAGGAAGAAGTAGGACTTCAGTGCGTACCTAGATGAAAGATGAACCCCAGGCAAAGTCTTATTTACTAAGCAAATGATGGCTCTGAGGGTCCCTGACATCCCACCCAATTCGACTGCAGTTTATAAAGAGTGCTCTGATTATAGCCTTCCCTGGAGCTCTTAGCTTCTCAGGCAAGACCCTATCTCTTCAGAGCCTGGGCTTCTGAATGGACTGTGGTCATCATTTGGGTTTTGATTTGTCTTCTACACTGATGAGGGAGGAGGTGACTTCTGAAATACGCAAGAACATGGATCTCACTTAGGCTAGATCTAGGCACTGCAGCATCTTTTCATGGAGAAAATATCCTGGGAGAGCCCCTCAACCACAAACTTTGGCAACTCCGCTGCTACATCCTGGCATCCAAGTATCTAAAACACCAAAGTAAGTAAATGACATTATTTGTTTGTAATGTTATAAACTATATTTATTGCATGATGTCATCTCCAAATTAGTTGTTTAGGTTACTAGATATAAACATGCAAAATTGGTTTAAAAAAGCAAAACAGCATGCATATTGACTTTTGTATATAAATATAATATATGCTTCAAGTATACATTAAAATGGGTATTTGAGCATATGCATTCAATTATAGGTTATATGGTATTTATTTATTATATTATTATCAAATATTCTCATGACATTTTTCATTCCCTTCCATTTCAATCACTTGCTTTTCTTATTCTCCAGTCAACTGTTTAGGCGACTGAGCTGTCTCAGCAGTGTGCAGTTTGATTTAAGTCTGGAATCATGTTTGAAAGCATAACCTATTCTTTTAGCTGATCCAATCTAGCTCAACATTGGTTCTATTCTATTAAAAGAGAAGTTCCATTCTATTAAAGATAGATCCAATGTGACTGTATAAACAAAGCAGACACCTTACGCATTTCCAGGGACGTCTTCAGAATGACCACTGTGACCATCAGCATGTGGACTTTTGGTGTTGGCAGAATCATTCCATTACGCTGAGCACATAAGCAAACCACAGTCCTCACTGCTGCGGGGCAGCAGGATGTCACAAGTCACCCTACACTGTGGTCACGCCTCCAGACCCATGTCCTTTGCACAGCATTGAGAGTTTCCATGAAAGCAGATGCCTTCCCAATGGCCCCTCCTAATTTCTATTTGTGTGCCTGCTAGGTTTCATGCTGAGCTTTTTTGAGGTTTTAGACCCTAAAAAGGTGAGATGGATGCTAGAGAAACTCCTGGTCAAACAGGACATTTAGTAGTCATGTGAACTTGACAGGACAAATGAAAAGAAAAAAAAATCACTCATATTTAATCACCTTCCTACAATGCTAGGGATATAACTATGTGGGATAAAAATAACTTGTTGGACAAGAAGAGATGGTGCTACCACCATACCATTGAGGCCTGATGATATTTTCCCCAGAAGATAGCTATATGCTATCAGCAGTAATGAAGAACAGGGAGCTGCAATAGTCGACCTTCTGTGTCTGATTTATTTCACTGAGCATCATGGTCTCAAGATGCATCCATATTCCTACAAATGACTCAAGTTTGTCTTTCTTCATGGCTGAGTAGTACTCCATTTTATATGTGTACCACATTTTATGTATCTGTGCATCAGTTGGTGGACATATAGGCCATTTCTACAAGTAAGCTTTTTGTGAATTGTGCTTCTATAAACCCAGGTCTGCATGTGTCACTGTGATACAAAGACATTCATTCTTTCAGGAAGATATTCAGCAGAGGAACAGCTGGGTCAGCTGCAATTTCTATTTAGTTTTTTGAGGAATCTCCTTACTGATTTCCTTTGTAGTTGTACTAGTTTACTTTCCTACCTCCGGTGTAGATGGCAAACATGCTAATCTGGTGTATGGAATGTTAACAAAAAGAACAGGGGGTGATTCCAATCCGTTCTCCATTGAAGCAACTTAGTAGAATGCACTGAGGAGTAGGGCCGCTCTAGCAGGAGCTGGATTCATGGGTCTCTACCCCGTAGGAACGGTCAGTGCCGGCAGAATCCTTTCTGAGTCAACTCCCACGACAAAGCACAGACAACCAGGAAACGTCATATATTCCTAGGTTACACGTGTTCCCTACAGATTGGATGGGAGCACAGTCCCTGGCAACGGTAGTTCGCATCAGTATAATAACATGTAAGGGCAAATATACCTGATACAAGGGATTATTTTGTTCCAAGACTGTAAACACTCCTATTCCAAAATATGTCCTGAAATAATAGTTATATCAGTGAGTTGCAGGGGTGGCTGCTGCTGCTGCTACTGCTGCTGTGATTTAACTAAATCAGCCTTTAAAATATTTTTGAAATTCCCCTGTGAAATCCAAAGTTTGTAGAGCCGCTGAAAGCACAAGACTGACAGAATGGATAGCTCCATGTAATTCCAAGAAGGAAAACTGTAAGGGAATTAAAGTTACAGAAAGTGAGAGGGGACCAAATGACAAGTGTACAGCAATTCTCATCTCGCGATGTTAGCTTCCAGCTCTAGGGCTCTGGAGTGCACGCCGGCTCCCAGTCAGACTGCATGCTCAGAGAGAGTCCTAGGTCCCCTCCAAGACACAAACCTAAGCTTGGCACTTTTAAAGCTGTGTGGAAAGAATTTCTGCCCAAGAAACCAGTGAGAAATCCACCAAGTGGCTGCCAGTCTGGCTTCCTTTGCTTTAATGGGTGTCGCACAGTCATATCTCCTCCCAAGAACCCAAGCCCTCTGGCCCTGTGTGGATCTTGCTGTTCGATTTTCCACAACATTGGGCCCTGCTTCCTCCTCTCGGCATCAGTCCTTGCCTCTCACCCTGCCCTGCCCCTAACATCTATCTTGTTCTCTGTGGTAGTCTCCTTGGCTCTTAGAGCTGAAATCAACCATTTCAATGCTCTAAGAATTTATATTTTTCTATTTTGTATGAGCACACTTGATGTCATCCTTTGTCCCGGGGCTAGAGAAGAAAATGCCTGTAAAAGTTACCAGTGATGAGACCTTCCTGTAGAATTTTCCAGACAACTCAAATTTAGATTCCTAGTCCCATAAAGGCTGAAAGGAAGGGCCCAAGAGCTCCATAAGTTGAATCCTTTACTGCAGAGAGATCAAACTTGCTCGGTTCTGGCCGATCCTCAGCGCATCTTATTTAGCTCAAATATGATGAAAGCTCTCGACAAAGTCTCTCCAAGGCTATTGGTACATAAAGGATGCAGGTAGGACGATCTACAAGGTCCTCCACTTCCTCACAGGCTGCCATGTGATAATCATATAATCATTTTTTTATTAATTTTAATGAGAAATAAGTAGCAATGAGACAGTTCCAAAACAGGTCAGTAGGACAGTTGTAATAATTAACACATTGCATATTGTCTTTGTAGTAGTTATTCAGAGGACAAGATGCAGACACGATATCTTGTCTAAACACTATTAGTACAAATCTTTCTTCTCATTGAACTAAGAGCAAGTAGCTGTAAATCTATACTAACTATTTTGTATATACAGACATATCATTTTGGTCTAGCCTGGGTTTTCACACAGCAAAACGAAGCAGTTGTACGTATTGTGTACAGAGGTAGTGGGTTTTCACTTCCTCATTGTTAGATATGTTATCCTCTGTCTTCCCTCTAGGAAATCTCAGGGCAATGGAGTAGCTTCTCTCCCTGCTCTCGTCAGATCTTTGTTTGTCACAGGAGCTGTCTCAAACTGTGGCTATGAATGAGTATTGCATTGGCTAGAGTCAGCCAGTTGATCACCGGGAGACGGATCTCCCTGCCAAGCCTGATGGGTCCTGATAAGCCAATGCAATTTCTGCATCCATCTATCCAAATCCAATTACCGCTCATGACAGCTGTGCCTTTCCTTACCTCATATTGTGTAACCTTGTGAAAGAGTGGGAGACTGGAATGCTTGCATTTTTTTTTTGCCTAAAGGAAATTATGTACATATATCTATATGAGTATATAGATATATAAAGCGCTACACTGCAGAGGGGCAGATTTGAGATGCAAAAATTGAATAACATTCATCAGGTTTGAGGAGCAGATCCTGGCACATCTGACTTTTCAGGCTGTGAGGAATGCTTAAAACGAAAATGCAAGCTAAGAGACAGCCACGTCTCCCACCACTCTTAAAGAAAAGAGCACGTGAAAATGTGAAATCTACAGTGGGAGATGATCATCTTTGTGGGCCGTTTGGATACATTTATTTTCTCTCACTTCTTTGGTTCTCTTTCTCTCATACCTGGGACATGCCTGGTTAGAGAAAGGGTTATGACTAAATATTTCAAAGACAGCAACTCTCCTAATGGTTCAACCAAAGGAATTAACTCAGTGCACCTACGTAGAGGGAACATGTCCCTCTTAATGTGATACTTTGCCAGGTTGTGTTTCTCTGACCCAAATTCTAACTGATCGAATTTTGTAGGTTTCACTCAATACAATTGCATGGAATGCTATTACTGTGTGCAAAGCAGTGTGATCTAAAAACATTGCATTTCTTTTTTTTTTTAATCCAAAGGGGACTAGCAGGTTTATTGTGTTTGCATGTGCTTTCCCCCTAGACTCTGGCTGCCCTAACAAGAAATTCAATAAATCTGCTTCCAAACCATCTTGCACAAGCTTTGCATGTCCAGTCTGGGCCTGAGGAAATTAACAAGAGAATAGAACATACCATCGACTTGCGGAGTGGCGATAAATTGAGAAGAGAGCATATCAAGCCATTCTCACTGATGTTTAAAGACTCCAGCCTGGAGCACAAGGTAGAGCTGAGTCTCCACACTGGCTCTTTTTCTGAAGTTAATGATTGTAAATGTTCTTGGGGACAGAGAGAGCCCCCAGTGTATGTGGTTCGAGTTTGTCTGCTGTCTGATCTTGTGTGGTTTGGTACTGTCTTTTCTTATTCGCTTGTAAAATCATTAATAGAACAAAGACCATGCAAGGAGATGCTGTGGTAAAAGAGAAACACAGCTCCACTCTTGACTAAAAGAACGAGGGGTCCACAGTGAGCATCCATAGAGTTTCTTCCACCTGGGGATTATTAAACTCATTGATATTACTGTCCACTTGCCTTTGCTTTCAGGTGAATTCACATGGTTTGCAATCTTTGCAAAATAATAATAAGAAGCACCAGGGACCAGGGAGATGGCTCAGTAGAATAAGCGCTTCCCTGGCAAGCGCAAGGGCCTCGGTTCAATCCCCAGTTCCACCAAAAAATAAAATAAAATAAAAGCCACCTAATGACTTGGTGTGAGCATCAGTGATAAACATTGCCTTTCTTGGGTTTAGATATCTGTTATCCAATTTCTGGCTCAGAAGCTCTGATCTAAGCTTAGGAGGGAGAAAATCAGTTATGGATGTGGAGGTTTGAAGTCACCTCCACTGTTTCCTTTCTAGGGGGGCCTTCAAAAGTGAAGCAACCTCTCTGAGCACGCAGTCCTTGCCACACAGCGAGGATAGTAGCATGCCTTCCCAGGTTATTTTGAAGTGCTCCAGAGCAATGTCTTGATCAGGTGAAGTGACAAATACAGTGTAGCATATTTACCACTTTTTCCGTGTTTTTAACCTGACCCAGTCCTGAATTGTAAACAAGGCTGGCAAGAAACGTCACTGTCTCCACTTAACTGGGCTGCTGCTTTACACTGAGGAAAATCATGGACAGACCTCTTTTGACTGAGCACAGGATGTGTTTGCTGTCCGCAGGAGCCTTGGGCAAAAACAGCAGGGAATTTGCAAACAAATTTCAGGAGTTTGATCCAATGCTCTGTAAAGCTTCAGTGAACAATTGTTTTGTGAGTTTGTTCAGCTGCCCTGGAGATTCTGCTTGCCTCAGTTTGGGGAATTCACACTTCGGTGCACAGGCACCACTCCCAATGAGTTTCTTAGATAACTACCTACAGATTGCAAACTCCACAATGAATGCCTTCACCTGCAATTCCCAATTCAAAACATATTGTGTCTATGAAGTAATTAAACTTTAGAAATATTTTGGCTTGCTCAATACACCCAAAACAGAGGGTGTTCTTTTCTTGCTCAAAAACAGGTCCACATTAAATGCCTTTTCTGGCCTGGTCATTCCATCAAAGGAGCTAGGACAATTAGCAAGGTGGCTTTGCAAAAATCTTCTCAATCAACCTATGTAGGTACTTGTGTCGAGAGTTAAACAAAGCCTTTTTGCTCATCTTGCTAACAATGCACTTGCCTCTCCAACAGACTAACACTGACAGACAGTAGCTCCTCTTGTCTTTTGTGCAGAACTGCCCATATTGCATCTGCAGCCATATGGTAGTGAAGCAAGACTGCACCTCTGGGAGGCGGGGCGCACCTGAGGTTGACCTCTATTACCAGGGCAGGTCCCCAAAAGGACATGGGACTTGTCCACTGATGGTTTATCTATGCACCTTCTAACATATGCTCCACATGACACGGGCTTCCCCACGGTGAGAGCCTTGGAGCACATCAGAAAACCCTTAGTCCCCTCATGCCATAGAGGTCGTCCTCAGTGACACTCGCTCTGAGTTTCCAGCGAGGGATTGAGTTATTGGTGAGCAGAGAATATACAGCAAATAACATAATGAATACTTACCAAGTGCAAGCACTATTTCTGTGATATCCATACAAATTGACAAGCACAACAGAAAGAAATGCTATTATGAGCCTTATCTTATATTTGATGGAGACAGAGAAATAATAATGACCCCCACCTCAAGTCGCACTGTTAGCCGGGTCCCTGGAATCTGGGTCCACTATGATGCTAGAGCAGAGCTCTTGTTCACTGGCTCTACCCGAAGCCCCCAAAACTTGCTCTCCCTAGCTCTTGAATGCAGACAGCAGTAAGACGTCCATTCTCACCCTTGCCAATTTTGGACAAGGTGAAGGGCAAAGGAAAGGAGAGAGGGCAGAGGTTTAGTAGAAAAGGGTCTTAAAGCTTTAGCATAGTAAAAGTGAGCCTCTTAAATCATAAGATTCCAGAATCCCAGAATGATATCAGCGTGCCGCCACCCTGGTACCAGGAGAAACATTACTATCCAATTTATGCAAAAAAATTTTGGGTTCTAAGAGTTAAGCAGAGATGATAGAGCTCAAGATCTGGCCATCTTATTTCATTGTCAACTAAGAGAGGCTCGTAACACAATGAGACTTCCAAGAGAAAACACACATACCTGTACACACACAAACACACATATACACATGCGCGCACATACGCACACACGTACACGCGCTTTATACCTCAGGGCAAGCATGAACAAGGAGGAAAAGAAAATCCAGTGCAGTGAGAAAACCCATGTGCCTATACCCTGATATTCACTAGGTGAAGGGGAAAAGTTCATGAAGAGTTAAACTGCCGATGAAATCTGCATGTTTGCTGCCTGAATTCACCCTCTGAATGTAATCTAGAGAAGTCAAAGTGGCACCAGGTTCACATCGCCACCTGGTGTCCAACGCGAGCAATTGCAAATCTCCCTGGAAAGAACTTGAGGTTTTGCAATTCCTCTGATAATACTGTGCATTCTGATTTCAAAGATGTTGCAGTGTGTACTCTATAAAAACTTTCACTTTTTAATTAGAAATGTGCATCTTAGAATTAGTTAAATGCATACATATTTACGATTATAAAACCTCTTTTCCCATTGCCCTACATGGCTTCTTGGGAACAAGTTGGGGCCATAAAGCTCGTTATCAAAAAAGAAAAAAGTGGAAATGAAATCAATTATTATGTCCTTACCATTTTGTAGGGAAGCAAAGGCTTCATTTCATTTGAACAATTGGATTATATGTGAATAAGGGAACTTCTTTGTTTCTCCACCTTCACAAGGGTTTACAAGGGAGAAAACAAATATTGAAATGTATAGGAATGTTACACAGACAGTTCTTGATCACGGCTAATAATAACTGACATATCTACTAACATGTCTTGTGAACAGGACTTTTACATACCTCACAATTCCAAGTACTTGCTGAATAATTAAGGAAATGAACAAAGGTTCAGGTTAAGGAAATTGAAGAATTCTGCCTAGGTGACTCTGGCTGGCCTCAGGTTAGTTTTTGCAAACTAAGATCCAAAAGATGTGAGTTACATTTGATCTCACCTTTCCAGTGGACTTTTGGGGTAAGTCTGATATTATGCTCACTCTCTGCCATGAAATTTTAAGTAGCCCATTCCTCCTTGCCAGCCCCCTCCAATAAATATTTCAGCTTGAACTGGAGAAAAGCACACCCATGACCTCTGTGGCTTAGCCAAGTTTGGACAACACGTTTTCATTTGTTTCTTCCTTGGATGTAAGATCAGGACTTTGGACAGCTCTGCATCTCAGCCAGCCACAGAGCTGACTATGAATTCTCCTTGACCCTGGTGATCTGAAGTGCTGGCTTTCCCAGAGCCATTATTAGTAACATCTTCTTGCACCCTCAAAACTCACCCTCAAAATTCATGTGACAAGTCAAAGGGCCAAAGGCCACTTCGGTATTAGGACTTCTCAACATTTTCACTTCTCAGCAACCATGTCAGTATTTTCTGAGCAGAACCCTGGGTCAAGGAAGGAGACCTAATTCAGCTGTCAAAGGCACCCTCAAAGTTCACAGATAATTACTTGCCCTTCTTTGCAGAGACATTTTCCCAAGGGCCTTACCAATCTCAGAGACAAGCTAAACTTGGAACTACAGTAAAAAGATGTAGAAAATGACATACTTGTCAAATGATAAAATCACATTGAATTTTTTATTAAAAAAATAAATTTTCACTGACGAAAGTTTATACCAAATGTATAAGGCAAAAAGAAGAAAATATTTTTCATATTTAAATTCAAGATAATGTCTGATAATATTTTGGCATCCGTCATGCTGGCCTTATATGAATGTGCATCTATGTGTTTATCAATTTTTGTAAAATGTACTTTTGTGCATAATGCTTTGCAATGTAGCATTAAGCATTCTTAGTTTACACTTTACTCACACTATTATTTAGCAAAATATTTTCAGTAACTGTATACTATTAGATTGCATGTTTTAACCATTGTGGCTTTTTTTCAGTTTTGCTTTGTTTTTGATTTTTTGAGGGTTTTTTTTTTTTTACTTTTTTTTTTACTATTATAAATCACAAACTATGTTGTGGTGGGCACTGTCATAGTTAAATCACATTCGTATTCATTATTTCTTTAGGATACAATTATAAGGAAACTAAAAGAGGCCCTACATTTTAAACCAGATGGAACCCCATCCCCTGCACCTGCCTACGCAGGTGCTTTAGTCCACCGAGCTATCTGGCTGGCCCTTATGTTTTGATTTCTAAATTTGTAATTTTTACATTTTTCTTAAAGACCTATTTTTTTATCATGATGTTCACCTGTCTTAATGAATTTTGAGCCTCTGTTGTCCAGTGAAGAACCCAGTTCTTTGTGGAATCAACTATCGGGGCACTTCCTTTACAAAGCACTTTTAAAAGGTGATGTTGCTCAGCCACTGGTCTCATTTCACTTTGAGGACTAGACTGTAGATTCAATTTAGGACAGAGATTTAATTAATTAAAATTATTCATGGAGGCTTATAAGGACAGAGAGACTTACTTGAAATCTTTATAGCTTTAGGAAAGCTTAATAAAATAAGAGCACCAATGTGAAATAAATTCATTACACTTAGTATTCTGAAAAAAGTTACCTCCTCAGAATGAATTTCTTCATAATGAATGGAAATTCATACATGTTTAATACTAACTCCAGATTTCTCAGTTACTTATGCCTTGTTGTAGGCAGTTATTTTTTATTTT